GAGGCGCAGTGACGTGTCTGCTCACCTCGCCCGGGACACCCCGACGGGCTAAAAATAGCTGTGATTCATGGGAAACTTGTGTGAGTGAGCGCCTCCCCCCCCCCAAATCATCTCTCTGTATCTTTCTGTGTGTCTGTCTGTCTCTCTATCTCTCTCTCTTTATCTCTTTCTTTCTCTCTTTTCTGTCTGTCTTTCCCTTCTCCTGCTCCCTGCCCTCCTCTTTCTCTCTCCCCCCCTCTCTTTCTATCTCTCTCTCTCCCCCCTCTCTCTCCTTCTCTCTCTCTTCCTTCTCTCTCTCTCTCTCTCTCCCACTCACTCTCTCCCTTTTGCTGTTTCCCTCTTTCCATCCCTCTCTCTCTGCCTCTCCGCTGTCTCTTTATCTCTTTCTCCCTCCTCCCCCTCTCCCCCTCTCCCCCTGCCTTGTGCTCACCACCCCACGCGCGCCTGTGATAGGTGGACCGTGCCTCGTGATCGATCGGTCGTTCTGCTCATTGTATAGTGATGTAAGGAAAATCCCCAGAACTTTTCTTGCAGTGCTGACTGAGTTGTTATTGTTATAGTTAGTAGTTAGTGGCTAGTGGTGAAGGACAGTCGCGGACTGCTCATCGCGTTGGTCGTAAGGATTCAGTGAGGTATTGACTAGGGAGTTTTGGAGGTAGAGGCTAGGTCACACAACGAGATGTGGAGAGTATAGTTTATTGGTGTCTTGCGGATATCGTTTCGTTCAGGAATTTACTTTTGAAATTCATTCTGACTAAACAGTCCTTTGGAGGTCATTGGAATCGGAGGTTGTTTTTTTTTAAGTTTAAAAAAAATATAATTTTTAAAAATGTTTTAAGACGAAGGGAAGTGTTTTATGAGATGTGTGGTGTTTTTTTTTTATTTGTTAGCGTTGTGCACCCAAAGTTTTCGTGTGGAGTTGTCTGTTCGTTAAGGAGTAAATACTTAGTAAATGTTTTCGAGTTCCCGAGTCAGACTTTGGCACGCGAGCTATTCGTGACGCGTTTTGTTCTGCGTAGTGGCAAAGTTTCAAATGGTGTGTGTGTGTGTTTGTGTGTGTGTGTGTGTGTGCGCGCGCGCACGTGCGTGTGGGATTCGACTCCTTGGCCAGGTTATGTACGCAGCAGTTTTATCTGTTCGAGAGGACTAATTGGTGGTGATCTGTACACATCATAGTAGTTTCTTGGTTAAGATGTTTACAGCCTACTGTACATCGTCGATAGCATCCATCATTGTCGTATGTCAAAATACGAGGTTTTCAGGAGAAGAAAACACCCACCTGCCCTTTTCCCTCATAACGAAACAAAAACTTTTTCATATCGCTCAGGAAAGTCATTAAATAGTCAATTTGTCTAAATCGGTATCTAATTTAAGAAAAAAAAAAATGAGTCTAAGACCAATCGATACACCTCATGAAACTACCATTTTTTCTTCCTTTCTTTCTTTTTTAAAAATGTTGACACACTATAATTTTGAAAGACGGCGATGACATGTAGACTGTTGGATACTGGGGTGTTATAGATAGATTGGTCTTCAAGCGGTTGCTTTTGTTTTCGCTTTTATTAATTTCTTTTTTCATGTTTGTTGTTATTTTCTTGGGG